CTCTTATGCACCAATTAAACTCCTGCTATGATTCTGGTTGTGGTTTCTCAGCACCAGGAAGCTCCATGTGTCAGCCTGAACTTGTGTCCTCATTAGACTTGGACATGTGGACGGACAGGTTTAATTATTCAGAGTGGAACTTGGACCGTGGACAGCTCAGAGTGGTCCGAGCCTCACCACCGCGCAGGGCCGCCCTGCGACCAATGGCTGCCGGGACTGAAGCCCACGGACTGGACTCCTCCCACGCTCAGCCTCCTGATAGGCCCGAGCTGCTCAGATGGAAGACACCCGGTTCATCTGTGCAAAAACTCCCACAGCTCCATCACCATTGATTTTCTGCTCACACAATCCCTCAGCGTCGTGTGCAATCAGTAAAAACGGACAAACACTCAGTAAATCACGCCTTAAACGAGCTGCTGGGCTTTAATTTCCCACTAAAAGCGGATCTGATGCTGATAATTCCATCAGTGCACACTGGAGTCCTGTCAGCCGACCTGCCCCTGATGTGTTAAAACACCAGATTTGCATCCGGATGAATGAGTAAGTGAGTTTTTTCGCGGCTCACCTGATGTTCGGAGCGAACACGATGACCAGCAGCGTAACGAGTCCGAGCCCCGCGGCGGCGAACAGGACAAACATCGCGGCTCCGCTGCTGCGTCTCCTCCGGCTGGATGCTGCTGTTGTGGAGGCAGAACAGCTGATGTCAAAGCATAAAGGGGCGCAGAGCGCAGCGGGGTGAAAGATGCACCGCGAACGGCCTCGTGGGATTGTAGTTCTCAACGCCTACCAGGAAATGAGTACTGCTTTCACGGAGCATGCGCAGTAGACACTTAAAAATAAAATTGAGCAATAAAATAAAACAAAAACTTATTGATTTATGACTGAACTAACATGCAATGACATTCCACCAACAGATTACACTGTAAAAAAAATACATATTTAAAAAAATATTTCCAGATTTTCCATTTTGCTGTTTTGATTAATTACAGATAATAACAAGTAAAATCTTCGAATAAAGTGCTACCTTACATGTCAAATTTGAATAACACACTGCACCGTAAAAGTACACTTTAAAAAAATCCCAACTACGTTTAAAACATAAAGAAATTGTAGTTTACATATATTAACAATTACTATTTGCAAGAAAAATCATCTATATTCAGGATTCAAGATTGGTGAACAATTGTTTTAACAGTTATTTTACGAATTGTCCCTATTTTATGGATAATAGCTGGCATTATCTCAGAAAAAAATATGAATTTCTATGTTAACTATTAGAAAACAGGGTAAAAATAGTGGTCACATCAAAATCATATTTTTATTGATCGTATTTTACAACATGTGCATTAATGTAAATAGATATGTTTTGTGATTTTATTTGATATAGTCTTTGATCTGTCAAAAGAGGCTTTGTTGAATAAAAAATAAAATAAACATTCATAAATAAATAAAAATCACTGGAAAAGTAAAAAATTGCTGTCTTCTGAAGTAATACTGTACTCACCAGGCCAGAGTTCTTCAGTGTTCCACAAAAAACTACATTTTCCCAGAAGACGCCATTAAAGCTGTCTGCGCAGTGCCTGAAAGAAAAAGTAATCAACGATTTTCTAAGCGTTATTTTTCCCAATATGTAACATTACTTTTACAATTTGCATTCTATGTGGATTGTAGAATTTTTCTGCCTAAAGTTTCAATAAAATCATTAATCTGAAATGGATTTTTCTTATTTTCGCTCCGGAGTTTCAGGCACTGAGTCACGAGGGCCATCATGCGGAAGAGTCCCGGGGATCTGATTATCTTCAAGGCAAACCTTCTGGATTGGATTATTTCTGTATTTTGCAGCTGAAGACAATACATTTTATTAAAACAACTGAGCTACAGTTAACTTCAAAATGTCGTCGGAGGAGTTCGAGAAGCTGCATGAAATCTACAAATCTCTGTTCGAGGAGCTGAAGCTGATGCCGGACAGAGCTCTCAAAATCCACGGAGGTAAACAGTCTGTGTTGTTGTTAGCTAGCTAACGTTAGCTAAACACCTGCGCGCCGTAACGAGCAGCTTAGAGGAAGTTTGTTTGTTGTGAAACTAAAATATTTGCTGTCACACCTGCAGAGGAGAGGAAGAGGCTGGTGAGGAGCTTCGATGAGCGGCAGGGGGAGGCTGAGGAAGTGGTGAGCTGCTCTCTTCTGTTTCTGTTTTGAAAGTTACAGCTGCTGGCTTGAATCTACTTCAAGCACGGCTACAGTTTACTCACTTGCTCGCATATGTGTGTGTATAAACGGAATTCTAAACAATGTGCCTCAGTGATATAAATATGAGACCTGCTTCATCTGTAAGCATCCTCTGTCAGCTGTTTGATACCTCTGCATGATCCAGGAAATACACCTGAGTTAACTGATGAGTCACAACTTAAAGGTCCCATCTTGTAAAAATACCCTTTGGTGTATAAAGTAAAAGCTGTTAAAATATGCTGACAGTTACTTCTACCGTTCCCCAAGTCCTCCCACAACTAGTTAACATAGTCAACAAACTCAGACTAATTTTGAGAGCTCCAGCTGACAGATTCATTATGTCCCTATGCAGTGCATCAAATATAGTAGGCCAAAAATGTCAGGATGTCCTTCTACATCTGGTCAGATTGTGCAGTATGCAAGCCAACATGCCCACAATCCTCAGCGCAGTTATGTCTGAGTGCACACAGACAGATGACCGCTCATTTCACATTATAGACTGTGGTGGTCAGCGCTTTGTCTGCAACATTATGATGAAGCTGTATGTCCCAATTGTATGTATACTGCTTGAAATGGTAAGACAAAATGTGTGATTTGGAACGCAGCTAATGTGTTCAGTACGTTTATAACAGGACTAAAACCAGGGGTTTTACAGTCATGGTGAAATGACCCACCTCTGCAGTATTTTGACCTGCAAAAACTGGGGAAAAAAACATACTGTGGGGACATGTGAGACTTTCATTTGCTTAAAAATACCCACACACACTGCTTGCTGAATAGCAAGCCTTAAAAACAAACAGTTTCCGTAATATAATAAAAGCCTGTTCACTGTAAGCTTGAGTTTACCTTACAAGCCAGGCTTTAAGTTAGTCTGACTTACTTTAAGGTTATTTTGGTGCTATAAAGAAAATTCCACATTGTTCAAGCTTCACTACTCTGGAAACGTTTGCTAGGAAACTGCACTGCAAAACAACTTCAACACACCATGGATATCTTTTCATTATCTGGCTTTACTAAACCCAACAGCTGCAGTCGGGATAATGGACAGGTAAAGCGGAGCATATTTCTCACAAGAATTACAAACTACAATCCTAAACCAATATAAGGAGCTTAAAATATAAAACAGGTTAAAAGTAACACAGCTGCTGCAGCCAGCGTCAGGAAACAAAGCAATCCAAAAAGTGGCTTCAGACCGTCTACAGAAAGATCCTTTTACTTTGCTGTTGGGATTTTTTATTTTTTTATTTATTTTTTTTATCATTACCTTATTTATTTAACTTAACACAGTCACAGCTTTTGTGATAGTTGGTCTGTTTTTGTGTCATTTACAAATGTAAAAAAAAAACATGTTTGACCTATTTTTGCATGTGTCTCATGGGGTAATGATCCAACACGTTCTAAATCTGTTGCACAATAAATATTGTAACTTAAGCGTTTAAAAAATGTTTTAAATTGCAATATCTGTTTAAAAAAATTGCAATAACGTGTTTTCCCCAAATCGTTTAGCCTTATTCACCACCATACAATATGGGAATGACCAGAATTCCTTCCGTAATAGTTTTTGTGCAAGTCAGGGTTGGGTCATGAGGTGGCTGTTCTAAAACTGAATCATATTAGTGTAGCAATATTAAAAAGCTTTGTCATATGATATCAAATAAAATCACATTACTAATATAATACTACAGTTTAAAAAAAAAGATTTTTTCCCTCGCAACTGTAATGAAGCAGACTTATGAAGTCACTCAGGTATTTTTATCCACTCATTTGAACGCTAAAGACAACTTGTCAGAAAACTGCCTTGTTTTTCAAGTAATTTAAAACAGTAAGTTATGATGAATTCTGCTTAAAGTTTCTTATCAGCAAGAGACAGATCTTACCTCCTTCTCTTGCATTACATAATATAAATTTCATATCCGTCTCCAGTTACAAGGAATGGAAGAGGAGCTGCGCGCCGCCCCTCCGTCCTACCGGAACGCTATGAGCACAAAGCTTCGTCTGTACCGCCGAGATCTGGGCAAACTGCAGCGGGACATGAAAAGCTCTGCACCTGGGTCCGGCTTCTCTTCGCAGCCAGGACAAGGAAGTCATCACGGCATCTATTCATCACAGAATCAACAAAGTGTGAGTGTAGACTCTGTGAGCACAGTGTCATCTCATCATCAGAGTAACTACCACACCCTGAATGCCTAATGAATTATTTTATTATGATTATATAGTAATTCTGTACCATAATGATGTCATAATGCAGTAATGGAATATGACCACTGTCTTTTTATATCTGTTAGATTGTGGCTGATTGTACAAAATGACAACATGCAAAGACGTTTACAGTGCAGTTGAAAGAATAATTAAGATTTAAAAGCAAGAAATGTTGCAACTGACAAAGTATCAGTGGAAAAAGACAGTTTTGATATGTATGAGTATAGGAAAGAGGCTGGTGGGAAGGCTGACATACTAAGATAAAACTTACAGCAAAGTAAGTCCTGGATTGTATTTAACAAAAATACCAAAGGACATACGTTTATTTTATTGTAATAGTATTATTCTATTTATGTTGACCCTAAATTTGCTGCTATTTCCCACCTGTGCAGACACACCTGCAGTCCCAGAGGGCTTTGCTCCTCCAGGGCACGGACTCTCTGAACAACGCCAGCCAGAGTATCGAACGAAGTCAGCGCATCGCCGCCGAGTCGGAGCAGATCGGCACAGATATCATCGAGGAGCTGGGAGAACAGAGGGAACAGCTGGACCGAACCAGAAACAGAGTGAGCTGTGAATCGTTATTACACCTTCTGTCGTGTGGGAGGAAGCTGTGATCTTCTATTAGTTTTAATGTGACATGTTTTGGTCACTTTATTCAATTGTTTCTCTAATTTTATGTTCTCTGAGAAAAGAATGCAGAAGTGTATTAGATTTGGGACAAAACTTGACAGTGCAGCTGTGATCTGGGTTAATACTGTTTAGATTAGTTGTATGTTTTATTGAGTCAATATGGAGAAGAGCTTTCAAATGTGTTAAAGTTCTTTATCTTTTTGCCTTTTGTTTCTGTGTAGTTGGAAAATACTGGAGAGAACCTCAGTCGAAGTAGAAAAATTCTGCGTGCCATGTCGCGGCGGTAAGTGCTACCCTGTTTTTCTCCCCCATGTTTATGCTTATTTTTTGTGTATGGGTGTGCACAGATGTGTTGTAATTCTTTTGGCTGCACAATTAATCCAATAATAATCATGATTTTGACTTTCCACAATTGAATAAACCTGATCAAATGCAATACTGAAGTTTAAAATGCTCTACTTATAGTAAACAGCCCATGCAGATCAAATCACTTGGCTTCAACTTGGTAAATTGTGACGTTGAAATGCTTTATTATTTTTTTTTCATTCTTTCCCACAACGTTTTGCTCATACGTCTGTGTGACCCAGTAACTGAGTGAAGACTAGAAGCTCCTTTGTGCACGGCCTTAGCTATGGCTAAGGTCTATTGTAGCCTGCCTGTGAGGTGTTTAGGGAACTTTGATAAAAATAGCGGGTTGTCAGCGAGGGACTAGTTTTGGTTGCACTTTAATTTCTATTTTGCCCTTACTAGATGCACTGAACTCAGGTGAAGATTATTTATTTATATTACCAGGAGTGTAGAACAACACAGAACAACACTGCTATGTTTACATTTCAATGTGAAAGTAGACCGCTACACTAACACATGGTCGGATTTAGTTACTTCTTATTGGCTAATTAATGAGTTTCTGACAACAAACTGATAATTGCAGCTTTAACTAACAATCATTTTTCTCAATTTTAATAGTTTCATCCATAAAATATCAGAGGAAAAATTGCATCTTTAAATGTCATTTTTATCATGAATGACATCCAACCATCATGTCAAAATAATTTGCTGAACATTTTTCTGTTGATCGTCCCGTTAATAAATCAGATCATTCTAACTTACTGAAGAGGTAACAGTTCGCTCTTGGCAGTCTGGGTGTATTTAATACATATTTATGGGCTATGACTGGTGTCCTTGACCAGAGCTTCTGCTTATTGTTGACTCATCTCCTCTTTTGTGTTGCAGGCTGATGACGAACAAGCTGCTATTAGCCGTCATCATTATAATGGAGTTGGCTATTCTGGGAGCTGTGGTTTATCTGAGGTTCTTCCAACATAAACACTGAGCTGTGGATCCAGACTCTCCTCATCTGTCTCCACTGACTGTCCAGTAGCAATAATACTGTTCTGCTGTTTCCAGCCAACTTGTTCCTGTGATTGCATCGAGGTGGTGAACATTTACCTGGAGGGGATTCTGTCCATGGGCAGGTGAAGAACGGCTAATTGTTGAACCTGTTAATGGACCAAACCCACAGAGACTCTTTGCACTGATGTTTTCACTGTTTAATCAGTCTGTTGATGCCAATGACGCCCTGCAGGATGATGCTACAGACGCCACGGATGATTCTCTGGAAGGTTTTGGACAAACAATCTACTTATTCCAACATGTGTAGACTGTGTGGTGACAGTATTTGTGAAATGTTACCGATAGATGCAGCAGTTTTAAAAGGATCAAGATACATAACTGTTGGAATTCAGCTGCTTTTTCGCTTTATCAAACTAAACCACATAATATAATGAAATGACACGACACCAGCTGAATCTGTAGCTGAACGTGAAACCTGGGTTGAGAAAGTCTTAATACAGATGCAATGTTTTTAACAGTTAATGTCTATTTACTGTATAATACAGAAATCGCTGTTACAAATAAGAACCAGAATTCCTTATTTGACAGCCTTCACGTCATTAAAGCTAATCTTTAACCTCAGTTTGCATTGTATCTGATGTTTCCAGGGAAGGCAGCGAGTTAACAGTTAGGATAAACATCCGCTGTGGAGTTACAGGCTGAAGCACCAGGACAGGTTAGAGCTGGTAAACAGCATCTGTCACTACGGAATTAATTCTCAAATAATTGGTGATAAAGTTATTTTTGGTGCCGTGTCAGTGAAGTGGTACATCTGCCACAATGTTTTTCTGTTTCCTGCTGCGATATCATGCCTTCCTGGTGTGATGCAAAGTGTAAAAAACATGTTTGGTGACCTGCTTGTGTGGAACAGGTGGTCGAGTTAGGTAACCAGTGTTTATACAGCACATTAAAAACAGCAGACATTGACTCAAAGTGCTTTCCAATAGAGAAATAAGATTCCTGCAGACGTTACAAAGACAAGTTTTAAATTTTAGGTTAGATTTTTTTATTAGACAAATTTAAATGTTAAGGTTAGAACCCTAAAATATTATTTATTAGACAAATTTAAATATTTAAAGACACTGAAACCTTCGCTCATATTCAAGTCAAGTAATTTATAGAGCAATGAACCACAGTGCCTTTCAACAGAAAAATGACATAACAAGTTTGAATGTTCAGGTTTTGACCCTACGATATAATTTATTCTACACATTTCTCCAACTAATTGAAATATTAGGTTACAACATTATTTATTAAGACTGTAGAATAGTGTTTATTAGTCAGATTTAAACGTTAAAATTAACTAGACAATATTATTGTACATATTCACCCATCAAATTCAATGTTAAATCCAAGACAATACAGCATTATTTATTGTACAAAGTTTACATGAAGCATTTAAATGTTAAGGTTAAGAAAATAAAATAAGATCTATTCTACAATGTTCCCTTAATTAAATGAAATATTAAGCGTAAGACCCTAAAATGTTATAAACAAATTTACTCGAGTAATTTAAAAATTAACCTTAAAACGCTGCAGTATTTTTTTATTGGACAAATTGTTCGACTACTTTAAATGTTACATTATTCTACATATTTACCCATCATATTTAAATATTCAGTTCAAACCCTACAGTATTGTATATAAAATGTATTTTATCCGACTATATGTGCAAGTTAAAGCTCTATTCTACTATACATTATGCATAGAGAGTTATTCTGAATCCTGGATAAAAGATGAACCTGGTATCAAAATGTAGGTAAAAATGAGGCCTTTCCTTTGCTATGACTTGTTCTGACCGACTATCTATCCCACATGGTGATATGATCCTTGAAGGTTTACCTAAAATGCCCTTTTGTCCAGTTTTCTCTGGTGAGTAATCAGAAAACCGATAACACATCCAGGGTAGCAACGTTTGTTTCTATGACTCTGTGTCACCGATACTAAACTGGTGCAGGTTTGCTGTTTGAACTGTGACGTATTCAATGATACTGAAGCTCAAAGTTGGTTACAGAAGAAGATATGCTGAACCTAAACAAGATTTTGGCTTCAGACTGCAACACCTGGAGAGGATGTAAAATTGATTTGGTTGCAGTTTTTTTACAGCTCAAATCTGTTTCTAGGCCAATAAATGTAATCTACCTATCTTCTCTTCTTATGAAGGTACAAGGCCTCCAAAAAGTGCAACATTTAGAAGTTTTGAGGGCCTGTAACTCAGAAAATATTCATAGTATGAAGGTAAAATGTTGCATTGCTTCATTACATATACTAAAGTTAGTGTACATTTAAAAAATTAAAAATAAAATTGAATATAGTATAAATAAAACTGGAAGGTTTGATGTTTTAAGGTGCTGCTGAAGTACATATTTCAGGTTTAGAATAGGTAATAATACACTAATATTTACTATTTAATATATATTGCCATGGAATTTTCCCAGTTAATTATTTAATTTATTTTATATATTTTGAATTTTAAGTTTTCTGAAAGTGTTAAATATGAAAATGATTTTTAAAGTAATTAAATCTGCACCCAATTTCATAAATTACTAATTGAAAAAATCGTAGAATAAACCCTGAAATGTGTATTTTGAATTTTTCTTTTCATTAATGGAAGCAAAATTGCCCAAAATCTCAAAATTGACCAGTGTATGAGAAAATTATGTTTTTACCTGTAATGTCTTGTGCTCTGGTTTATTTTTATGCACTTAATAAGGAATGTCTTTGCTCAACATTAGAGCTCCATAGAGTCGAAGGAGGTGTCTTGTGAAACTAGTAGACTGCTCATGTTGAAATGAATCAGTTTCATTGTACTGTGCACCTTTTGTAAAAGAATAAAAACAGTGTAAGGAGGAAATAAGACACACGTACAAATGAACAAAAAATGTAATCACATTTATGGAAGACCAAAATAGAAGCTCTTTGAATAATATTCATTCAGTGGCCACATCAAGTCAAATATCCAACAAGCAGTAAAACAGCTCATTTATGCAAACACTTGTTTCTTTCCAGCTTTTGACTGAACGCCTGATATTTTCAGTTTTCATGAGCACTCGTAGTAAATATTTATACACACGTATCGTGAAAATACAAAAGTAAACTCTAAAGTAAATACAGTAACCATAACTGGTCCAAAAGTGACAGCACATGACTAGTTTTAACTAACTGGCACAGCCACAAAAATGTGAAAGTCCACATTAGATTGCAAACTTTTAAAACTAAGTCACACTTAGTATTTCATACCTCTGAGGCAGGTTCATTCTCTTGTAAGCCAAACACATGATAAATATGTGGCAGCTCTTACATTTAATTTATGACATACAGGAACAAAATAAGTTAGTATTGCTGCTTAACATAATAGTAGTCCCATCATTAGGTATAGTGGTTTCTAAATATATCAAAGGCTTGTCTCAGTATTACCAATAGGAACATTTTTCAAGCCCTTTCGTATATGGATGCATCCAGAAATAATTTGGTTTTCAAGAATAAACACGACGCTAAACGGCAAAGAGATGGGAACAAAAACATCAGCTACTGATAGGTTCGATCTTGTCTTCAAAGTTGTGGAATGGTCAGGCATGACACTGATAAAGTTCGTAGCTCTGTTCGTGCTCTCAGAGGCAGAGCTGCTCTGTGTCATTTTTCGCAGAGTTAATTGCGTCGATGGAGGCGTGAGCTCCTTCCCTCGTCTGGCCCAGAGACGACGCAATGACGTCCACCGCTAGAGAGGCGGTGGCTTCCACGGCTTCGGGGTTCGCCCCGAGGACTGGGTTTACTTCTACCAGGTCCATGGCCGACAGCAGACCTGCACATCAACACAGATTCACAGGTCAGACACCAAAATCTGGCAATAAAAGATCTTTAGGTACAAGAATTTAGAAGAATGTTGATCTCTGGTTGATTTAACCCCTAAAAAAATCATCTCTGTGTATCAAAGGTACATATTTAGATGTTTTTCAATGGAAATAATCTCTTAATGCCTTAAAATGACTTCTATCTACGCTACATAACGGTAAAATAAAATATTGGAGTAATTCAGCCAAACATGTTGGAACCAGAGGCCAATTCTGAAGCAGAATAATGATAAAGAAAGCCCCGTCCTGCAAGCTGACATGATTGGTTCCTTGGAAGTCTGAGACTGTGTTTTTGAGATTGGACAGAAAGAAACACTGTGCAGTTGTTTTACCTCATAGACAGACAACAGTGTTTCAAAGTTGCAAAAGGTGTCTCACAAGGCTCAATCCTGAGGCCTTTGTGGTTGTCTATACATAGATGATAGTGTTTTCTCTGTATCCTCTTGTAATGTACATATTTACGCTGATGACACTATATTGTACTTTAGTGTGTAAACTGTACTTTCTGCTGTAAAAGCCCTTTAGGACTACTTTGCTCAGTTACAAATAGTACTCAATAAGTATCAATTAGTTTGTCCTAAATGCAGATAAAACCAAACAGAAACATTGGACAGTCTGGTCTCAACGGCACAGAGTACAAATATATGTATATTTGAATTAATGTTAAGCTGATTTTTAAGTATCATGTCTTAATACTGGTGACTAAACTACCACAAAAACATTTATTTTCCAGGGATAATGTATGTTGAACAATGAATTCTCCCTGCATTGTAGGAAAAATCACTTATTGAGACAATGGTGATATTTTATACATGCATGTCTCAATGGTTACTCTGTCTTCGACACTATTTATAGCTCTGCTTTGGGTTAATTACTGCAGATAATTATAATACTCATTCCCTTAACCATACAGAGCTGTTTTAACTGAGCTTGGAAAATCCGGTTTTACCTACTGGTCTACTTGGAAAAACCTGCTAAACCATCTAAAGTTGGACTTAGTTTTATTGTCAGGGCAACTCTGTTTTTTAAAATTTCATCTTATTTTACTTGCACCTGCTCTTGTTTTTGGTATTGGATTTGTTTTTGAAACTTAAATGCTACAAAATTATGTTTACATTTTTTGTAGTAACTTTAGATTTTAATATGTTCTTGTGATCCAGGTTCTTATTTTTGTGCCTATGTTTTATATTTTCTTACTCGTAAATGAGGCTTTGTACCTTGTGTAGTTTAAGTGTTTGTTGGTTTTCACCGGAGATGGGTTTTGATAAGATGTCATTTGGTTTTCTGTACCTGTGTTGTGAATTTCCTCTGTGATGTAGATTCCCTCTCTGTAGGTCAAACCTCCGTTCACTGGTGTTCCTGTAGCTGGAGCCAGAGACGGGTCGAACGCATCGATGTCGAAGCTCAAGTGGATCGGTCGCTGTTTTCTGACCAAAAAGGTGAGAAAGTTTTAATGTGAATTCTTCAGTTTTATCAAATGAAAAAAATATGCATTAGAAGTAATTCAGCTGATTGTGAGCTCACATCGTAATCTGTAAACATACCTCGCCAGAAGATTGTCAAGAGTGACTTCCATGACTCTTTGGATGCCGAGTCTGTCGATATCCCTCATGGTGAAGTACTGGATACCCAGGTCCTTCAGGATGTGGCTGCAATAAACACAATCAAAAACATCAGCTTCACAGTGCTTACATGTTGGGAAAATTTGCCACATGTAGGTAAAGTTTTTAC